CCAAGACACTTCTGCAACCTCCCTTTTCCCCTCTAAGACAGCTGAAGCCCAGTATTGGTACTGGGGATTATAAATTATTATAAATTGCATTAATAATAGCATTATAAACAGCAAACCATCAAAATGCATCCAAGATATACTGGCCCTAGGCAAATAAGTAAAAATTGACACTGAAATTGTCAGTAATTAAATTGAGAATTATTGCATTTAGAGAGAAAACATCTCTTAAAGGCTTTTGAGAGAACCTCTGCCAGAAGTTCTACTGTTGCCTTTTAATTCTACTGTCCTCTGGTATTTATCCCATCCCCACAAAAGACTTAGCATGTGGTCACGTCTTTCCTTCTGCCGACTTCCTGCAAAGAAGATATACAGCAGCCAGGCAAGATCCTATAAATCCCCTCAGCCTGTGTTGATATCTGTAAGGAGCAGCATAGGCTCCTCAGCCTGGCATTGAGTCCCATTTCCCCAGTGCCGCGTCTGCTGGCCAAAGGTGGCTCCTAAGGACTCTTACATGCTTGATTGATTGTTATATGAGAGTTACTTTGGCATTGCATATCTTACCAGCAAGGAAGAGTTTTGTCCCATATACGGTGTCATCCTGTTTCTGGTGTTCCTGCTCCCAGACAGCTTAACTCATTCTTGCCCTCCATGCTAAATTATTCCTGAGTCATTAATTATCATTGCTGAGTAGTTAACAATTTGAATTTCCCCTTCAAAATACACCAGTTCTAACCAAGACACTTCTGCAACCTCCCTTTTCCCCTCTAAGACAGCTGAAGAGGTGTATCTTTCCAGAGAAAGAATAGTTATTTAAAATAAAAATTGCAAGCTCTGCACTCCTATTAGGTTTCACTCTCCAAATTGCTAATAAAGCAGGCAAATCCAGTTTACCACCCAAAACCAAATTGTTCTTCTGTGTGTCTCCCAGTCTACACCTCCCATTTCAGTTAGTGTTTATGTTAGCTATTAACAGCTCCACTGGCCAAACAAGTATTGACTCAAGTTATATCCACCTACTATTCCAGATACCTGCTGTGGTAGATTAAAAGTTGATGTGATTAAATACTGGTTTCACAACTGTGTACACAATTACTGTGTTGATTTTGTGTCATTATAAAGATTCTTGACAGAGGACTAAGCTTAACTGAAAGCTCCTCTGAAAAACACAACGGACTATATAAGATTAGACTGTGGAAACACATTAGGTTACTGCTGATCTAATGGGAAGTATTTAAATCCTGATCTAGATATATCTTCAAGAACATACACCTAGCACTTAAGTAGAGGAGAATTATCATCTCTCATTCTGCCTGTTAACAAATACGACTGCTTAGAGGCAGAGAAGCATCAGTTGAAGAACATGTCATTCAATTGTCAAACTTGTTTCTCTGAGAAAATGAAAGCACAAAAAGCAAACCGATTTGACGTACAGGAAGCTAACCAAGTCACGGGACTTCCCACAGACGGTCAAAAGTACTAGTATAAGTGCAGAGGAAGCAGATGTTGGGGAGCAAGAAATGTTGCAAGGTCTCTCATTTCAGTGCGAGAGTAAGGCAGAATTGGAGCACTGGAAAGCATGAAGTGCTAGACAAAGAGGCTTGAAACTGTGAGTAAATACACTATTGCTCGATTCCTTTTAGGCTCAGGAGGGCACGGGTTTGCGCGTTCTGATGAAATATCAAGACTGCACATAAAGAACATGGACTCCATTATTTTTCCCTTTGCGTAACAACTGAAGAATGCTGAGGTGTTGTCTAACTATTCCAGGAAAATGGGTGACAGCATTTTATAAAGCTTCACTTAAACAGTTTTTAAAAGCAAGGCTCTTACTGGTTTTTTTTTGTGAATTAGTTTCTTTGACTTTATACATATAAAATGTTGTCTTTGAGTTACTTCTCTTTACTGCAAGTGGTATTAACTTAGGCAGAGAAGGTCCAGAGTTGCTAAGGTATTTAAAACCATTCTTTTAAAGAGGAGTGATATTTCTCAGTTTCAGAGCACAAAAAATGCAGTCTTTCTAACAGAGACTGTACTGGTATCAGACACGGTGAAGCAGGGGTCATTTGCTCAAGACTGGAATGTCATCTGACAAAATATATGAGTCTTTCTCAATATACGTTCATTTGAACAAAGGACAGTACAAAGCAGTACAATAAGTACCTCTTAATGACTCCACGTATGTAATCCTTTTTCAGAATGACTGCGTGTATTTCTGGTGAGAACATATTGCTCTGACAACAGTTGAGATGCTGCATTTTTTATAATTATACCATCTCAGCTAGAAAAAGAGAAATCTCGCATTTTTAGTTACCTCATTCAGTGGACATCAGGTAATGGTTGCAGCCTGTGGATTCCAAAAGAGGTGGTACTAACTTGAATCCAAAATCATATTCATATTTAGGAACTGATACAATTCCTTTATTGGAAAATGCACACATTAACTAATCTCCCTTTGAGCAGGTCAGGATGAAAGACTGAAGTAGGACGAAGGTTAGCAACCACTGAAGGCTTCCAGAAACTAAACAATTCTTTGAGGAGAATACAGTAGGCTTTTTAAACAGGTAGTGTAGATCTCTATGCATCTCTATAGTTTTTATAGTCTTACTTATGTAAAAAGGAGCTTGCTCGTTTCTTTACTGTCTGTCTGTAAAGTTTTACCCACAGTCACCATTCATATTCTAAGTGGCCCTTAGTTTCAAATAAGAATGCTAATTTACTTTTTTCCAGATCAAGTGGCTAATAATGCTTTTGGCATGGTAAAACTACTCATTTTCCTTAGTCTAAAAATAAGTGATTAGGATGAGTTTACATTGCCCAAATTGGGTAATGTATGCATGCAAAATTTGTGAAAAGATATTGAAAGTTTGTTTGCACATAGTTAACAATGAACAAAATATTGTTTCACCTAGGAGACACCTGAGAGGCAAGGGAACTTGAATTTAGTAAACTTCCTGCTTTGTATAAGGTGCACGTAAAGCTAAGATGGAGACTTTTGTGCAGAGTGCTATTCAGGAACTGCTGTCTTTTCACATTGGCTAGAAGGAAGTGGTGTTTAAAAGGAAGAGGGGGTAAAGTACATGCCATGAGTAGATTATAACATTAGGTCTTATCGTAGGAAGAGACTACTAGTTTTCTAGTATTTTTTGAATCTTAGAAATGCAATTTTCATGTAAATTTCCAAAGCCTAATTTAATGGGAATTTTTTAAGGCTTAATGCTACCTGATGTAAGACTGAGTTGAAAACACATCACCAGAACAATGTAATGATTTTTGCATTTAACATCTGTATCAAAAACGAAAAAACCCAGACCTGGACCCTATCTTTCTGTAAATAAATGTGACAGACACTAATGATGAGGAACTTCATTAGTGCTTTGTTTCATCTCACGCTGTAGTAAATTCTTCCTCTCTCTCATGCAGTAATTCATCCTCCCTGGGACTCTTTGATTTTCTCTACCTTCCTTAGACACTTTGTTGTTCTCTTGGATGGGAAGACTGGACCCATAAACTACTTTTACAACTTCTTTGAAGCTTCTGTCCTCTGTCCTCGTTACATTGTCTCTTGTTCTGCAGACTATTCCCATCTCTGTGAAGAATTCTGTTGATTTTGTCCAAGATAGAACTGAAAAAATCCTCTCAAGGGGATACAGATTACACTATACTGCCATTCGTGTATACCAAAACAGCTGGAACAGCTGCACTGGGCCCAACAGTAGTAAAATATTAGAAAGTTTGGAATGAGGAGATACAGGAGAATCTCCTGATTTTTTTCAAACCTGTATGAAAAGTAAAGTCTCATGCTACAGTTTGATGTATCAAAACAGTAACTATTGTGTTTAAAATAATACACTTAAAACGTTATTTTGCTAATCACTGACAGTGTGCATTTATGTGTGTTTGTTTTGTTTTAGAGAAAGTGAATAGAAGACTGAGTGTAAGGCTCTGTTAAATTCCAAATTGTGAATTTCAGCAATGATACACTGTGGAAAAAAACATACTTGTGCTGTTGTTATGTGTATTCTTATTTTTGCAAGCATTTTAATCTGCTCCTGGAGAGATCCTCACTTACAGAGTAACATAACCAGGAAAATCTTCCCTCAGGCAAAAGCTTCCAGTCCAGCAGATCATCTTTGTAGGGGAAAGCCTGCTCAAAATGTAATAACACCGTTAAAAGATAACAGAACTTTTATTATCTCCCCCTACTTTGATGACCGAGAAAGCAAAGTCACTCGTGTGATTGGGATCGTTCACCATGAAGATGTAAAAGAACTATACTGCTGGTTCTGCTGCCAGCCCAATGGAAAGATATATGTATCAAAAGCAAAGATTGATGTTCATGCAGATAGATTTGGTTTCCCATATGGTGCAGCGGATATAGTGTGTTTGGAACCCGAAAACTGTGATCCAACACATGTATCAATTGATCAGTCTCCACATGGAAATATTGACCAGCTGCCAAGGTTTGAAATAAAAAACCGCAAGGCTGAGACCTTTTCTGTTGACTTCACTGTATGCATTTCTGCTATGTTTGGAAATTACAACAATGTCCTGCAGTTTATACAGAGTGTGGAAATGTACAAGATTCTTGGGGTACAAAAAGTGGTGATCTACAAGAACAACTGCAGCCACCTGATGGAGAAAGTCTTGAACTTTTATATGGAAGAAGGAACTGTAGAGATAATTCCCTGGCCAATAAACTCACACCTCAAGGTTTCTTCTAAATGGCACTTTTCTATGGATGCAAAAGACATTGGCTACTATGGACAAATCACAGCTCTAAATGACTGCATATACCGTAACATGCAGAGGAGCAAGTTTGTGGTTCTTAATGATGCTGATGAAATAATCCTTCATACTACATATTTTCTTTTCTGCAGATGTGGCAGCATAAAGTGCAAGAACAAAGAAATTTGCATCCACATTTAGATACACTCAAAATGTTGTGTGGTGGGAAAAAATCTTACTTTGCTGCTGCTGTGTGCATTTTTACTCTAACTTCAATGGTCACAATTTCTTATCTTAGGTTACAGAGACTTTCACACCTGCCAAAAATAATTCAAGAAAGTAGCAGATGTAGAGGTAAAATTACCAATAGCACGATAACACCGTTAAAAGATAACAGAACTTTTATTATCTCCCCCTACTTTGATGACCGAGAAAGCAAAGTCACTCGTGTGATTGGGATCGTTCACCATGAAGATGTAAAAGAACTATACTGCTGGTTCTGCTGCCAGCCCAATGGAAAGATATATGTATCAAAAGCAAAGATTGATGTTCATGCAGATAGATTTGGTTTCCCATATGGTGCAGCGGATATAGTGTGTTTGGAACCCGAAAACTGTGATCCAACACATGTATCAATTGATCAGTCTCCACATGGAAATATTGACCAGCTGCCAAGGTTTGAAATAAAAAACCGCAAGGCTGAGACCTTTTCTGTTGACTTCACTGTATGCATTTCTGCTATGTTTGGAAATTACAACAATGTCCTGCAGTTTATACAGAGTGTGGAAATGTACAAGATTCTTGGGGTACAAAAAGTGGTGATCTACAAGAACAACTGCAGCCACCTGATGGAGAAAGTCTTGAACTTTTATATGGAAGAAGGAACTGTAGAGATAATTCCCTGGCCAATAAACTCACACCTCAAGGTTTCTTCTAATTGGCACTTTTCTATGGATGCAAAAGACATTGGCTACTATGGACAAATCACAGCTCTAAATGACTGCATATACCGTAACATGCAGAGGAGCAAGTTTGTGGTTCTTAATGATGCTGATGAAATAATCCTTCCCCTTAAGCACCCAGACTGGAAAACAATGATGAACAGTCTTGAGGAGCAAAACCCAGGGACTGGCATTTTCCTCTTTGAGAACCATATCTTCCCAGAAACTGTATCTACTCACGAGTTCAACATTTCGTCCTGGAATACAGTGCCGGGTGTTAACATACTACAGCATGTTCACAGAGAGCCTGATAGGAAAGAGGTTTTCAATCCCAGGAAAATGATAATTGATCCACGAAAGGTGATTCAAACCTCAGTCCACTCTGTCCTTCGTGCTTATGGGAACAGTGTGAATGTTCCCATGGATGTTGCTCTCATTTATCATTGTCGGGTGCCCCTTCAAGGTAACCTTCCCAGAGAATCTCTCATCAGAGATACAACGCTGTGGAGATACAACTCATCATTAATCATGAATGTTAATAAGGTGCTGTATCAAACCATACTGTAAGCTCAAAAGTGAAACCTCAGTTATGAGGAGGGAAAGTGGGACAGCAGAGGATATAATTTAAAGATCATATTAAAATCACTTCCACATGAAGTTTACGTCTTACAGAGATTTAGGAGAACAGCCTTTTGATGTGCTGTACAAAGGTAAATGCATTTGATTTGTGGGCTGAATCAAGGTATCCAGGGAAAGACTTTGACAGCTGAAAATTTACAGCCTTCACCACTAGAAAAAATTCCACCATAAACTTGTAGGAATGCCAGCACTGTATTTTGCTGTAGAAATTATCCAACTAGCAGTTGCTGTCTCTGAAAAATAATAGTGCTGGTGCAAGCAACAGGATTTTATCATTATATAATTATCACATTTCCTTTTTTTTTTTTTAAATGATTTGCACTTTGAAAATACAAAGGCTTGCTTGTGTTTCTCCATTTTACACAAGTTAATCGACAACTACACATTGGGATTCATTCCAGAGACGACCTCGGCCGAGGTAGCGAACTACGCGGGTCTCTCCTGCGCGCGTCTGCTGCTGCTCCGCAGCCCCGCGCTGTCCCGGGGCCGCCGGGGCCAGGCCCGGCCCTGCTCTGGCCCGCTGGACAACGGGCTTCGCTCGCCCCAGCGCCCCGGCCCGACCTCACGGTCTTGCGCGAGACTTGCCCGAAAAATGCCCTGGAGCA